CCCCAAAACCCCAAAACCCCAAAACCCCAAGCTTTTACTGGCATTATCATATTAAATAAAATTAGCAGAAGATATGAAATTATTAACTCAAAATTAATTGGGATAACCTCTTCCTTGAGAGCTTTGAAGAGATGCAGAAAGAGTCTTAGACATGAAATGCAACAAATATGTAATATAAATGATATTTCTTGAAATACCAATTTGATTTCTCCGCTCATTAAGAAATTCATAGAGTCTAATATGAAATCAGACCCAGTTGATTAATCCCTAAGAGTAAGATTGCTTTAAAACAATAAACTAGCAGAATTAAGCACAATTATTCGTCTCTTTTTTTAATTACAAAATTAAAACATTAAGTTAAAAGCTAATGTGCCTTAATTTCAAATAATTAGAAAATTTTAATCCTAGTTTAAATTTAATTCATAACTTAAAAATTTAGAGTGCTATAATACTGTCTATATTATTATATAGAAAGTATCAAGTAATTTTTATCATTGGAGCGAGTTTAAACCCAAAAAGAGTTTATTTCTAAATTCTCATGATTATCTCTGCCTCCAGTTGTTAAAATCCACATGTATAACCTTAATCTTTTTACTCTCGCATCATCATATAAACTAAAAATAATTGGAAGAAGGTCAAAGAATATTTGAGAAAATCTTTCTCACAAGGGGACTAGGTCATTTTATTTCTTAAATGTTTTGGATTTTAAACTATTCTAAACGAATTAGATATTAAGCATTTTCTCCACAGAATTGAATGAGTTGGGCCTAAAATGATCTAAACTATCAGCCTAGCTCTTTTCTGATTCAATCAAAGACAGCTCAAAAGGATCTTCTGAATTGCTAAGAATAAAGAGGTCTTAGCTTTATCATCATGAAGAATAAATCTTCAGACAATTTCTTACCTCTCAAAAGCTATTGATGACTGAACTCTTCAAAATATCAACATAACTATCTGTTGGAAGTCTCATCATAGTGACAATTTCATTAAACTATAGTGCTTAAACAACCTCATCAATACTCTGGCTCAAGCCGAGGAAATTCACAGCAATATGAAGTAGATATTATTTCAGAAGTATGGCTTCAACAAGCAGAGCATTAAGTCAACTCTACTAAAGTATGGACTGGGTAGCGTAGAATACAACCAGTAAGCAAGCATTGTCCAATCTTTTAAAGGTTACCTCTTGAGATTTGGAATTGAAGAAAGTTTGCATTTTCAACATTTTAGCATTTATAGTTTATATATTAATTCAAGTATTTTATAGAGCTTGGGGTTTTGGGGTTTTGGGGTTTTGGGG